TGTGCCAAGCAAACACCTGTCACTCAAAGTGGCCACGCCCTCAACTATGTATAACTTTAAGCCTTACTAATATTTAAACGAGTGAGTTATATAAAAATTCACTTCTGTACAGTTGTCATGAAGCAGGACATTAGCTTTAGAGACCAAAACAGTTTTTTGTACCAGGCTGTCATCATGTTTACTTCTGCTGTAAAGTCGGGCATTTTAACATGGGAGTCAATGGGGATTGACTCACTGCTGGAGCCAGCCTCAGGTGGCCATTTGAGGAACTGCAGCTTTGGACACTTCCTATGTTGGCTCCACTTTTCAGCCATGGAGTTTTGCCACTTACGTGTAACCGCTGCCGTTAACCTGGATTTCTGTTGATTTTATCAGACAATGTCACAACCATGAAATACAGATGTTATCAGCCTCACCAGATGTTGCTGTGATGCTGTTTATTGTTGTTTATTTAATTGTTAAACTGAAAAAGAGTTCGAAGGAGAGATTTACCTGTTTCCATGTTGTCCAGGTGTGGACAGACCTGTCAACAGGAACTTTTTTATATCGAAGAATTAAAGTGTTGAAAACGAAGCTTTAAAAGCACAAGCTAGAAAAGAAAAATACAATGTCCACCACATGTACTCGTCAGACATGTCGATGTTAAACACAAGCTGTCAGAGTCCCGGGAGAATAGAGAGAATATGATGGAGGAGAAGTCACAGATTAGTTTGTAGATTGGAGTTGATTTTGGAAAACAAAGATGGCATTGACTCCGACAGAAGATAATTTCTTCATGAATAGTCTCAAGTGCTGCAGGACAAGATGTTCTGGTTCAGACTGACAGCTGGAAAACATGACGCCTCTGTGAAATGAGGGAGCTGAAGAAAAACTAAAAGCAGAGGGAATAAAGATCGACTTAAGTGAACACGGTGTCAAAGGTTCAGCTGTTCAGAGACAATCAGCAGAGCGGAGAGGAGAGAAGATAAGCAGAATGAGGCAAAGAAGATTGATTTTTCTTTTTTTGAATGGAGGGGATTAACGGAGGCGAGGCGAGACGGGAAACAGAAGAGAAATGAGAATTGATGAGGGAACGGAGCGAGGGTCAAAGGTGGAGGAGCAAAGGGTGCAGCTAATGACATGACAGGAAGACAATGGAGCGGAGGGAACAGGACAAGGAGGCAGGAGAATAAGACATCTACCGTAAGACGTCTGCATCTTCAAACTGTTTTCATGTGTAAACAGTCTGCGTCCACACCGACTCCCCAGCTGGTTTTAACAGAGAGCTCTGTCCACAGTCAAACACCTGGACAACATGAACTCAGGTAAATCTCTCCTTCAAACTCCTTTTCAAGATGAACAACAAAACAGCACCACAGCAACATCTGGTGAGGCTGATAACATCTGTAATTTATCATCAGAGTCCTGCCAGCTGCTCTGCTGTGTGTTCAGATATATTCACACTGCGTTCACATCCTGCATTGTTGCCAACTTTGCAGGTTAGGGTCAGATTTACCCTTGAGCGAATTTTTTTCACTCTCAAAAAAAATAAATAAATAAATAAATCACCTAGCGACAAACACCTTGGATAAAGGTGCAGGTCTCCGTAGAAGAGAGTCGGCAGTGGCAGATCCAGGTGTTGATGGGTTAACAGCTGCACGCTGTGTGGAAACACAAGACGGGAGGACAGAAAGAGGGGCGGAGTCTGAGGACGAAAAGTAAAAGTGTGAGATGCGTTAATAATCAATAATGACAAAGTGAAAACATGTTTTTAGAAACTTTTGCAAATTTATAAAAATCAAAAACTTAAATCTCTCATTTGCAGAAATATTCAGACCCTTAATTCAGTTCTTGGTAGAAGCCGGTTTAGCAGCAGCTACAGCTTCCAGTCTTCTTGGGTAAGTCTCTATAAACTTTGCACACCTGGATTTGGGCAGTTTATCCCATTATTCCTGGCAAATCTTCTGAAGCTCCGTCAGATTGGATGAGAAGCAGCTGAACTTTCGTCCTCAAGTCTCTCCACAGATGTTCTATGGCGTTTAAGTCTGGGCTTTGGCTGGACCACAGACTTGTCCTGAAGCCACTCCAGTGTTGTCTCGCCTGCTTCAGGTCATTGTTGTGCTGGAAGGTGAAATCGTTGCCTCGGTCTTAGGCTTTCTTCGAGGACCTCTCTGTATCTGGCTGCATTCATCCTTTCCGCAATTTCCGCAAGCCCCCCTATAGCATGACGCTGCGCCCGCCATGCTTCACTGTAGGGATGGTTTGGAGCTCTGCTCAAAGTTCAGCCTCTGTCTCATCAGACCAGAGAGTCTTTAAATGCTCTTTGACAAACTCCAGCAAGCTGTCATGTGCCTTTTACTTAAGTGGCTTCTGTCCAGCCGCTCTACCGTAAAGGCCTGATTGATGGAGCCCTGCTGAGATGGCCGTGCTTCCAGCAGCTTCTCCATATAGTTGATTAATCGTTTCAGTCATTTTTTGGAAGAAAAACTGCAAGCGTTATCTTTATTCTTTTATTATATTTTCTGTTACACTTACATTTACATTTTTCTGTTGGGGTTTTAACAGTTTCCTCACACTGTGGTTATAATTTATTTTGACTTGAAGCTAATATTCAAGCTTTTAGGGCTAATTCAGGTACTTCATAGTGCACAGTATATGTCTGGTTAGGTGAATGCTGACTCAATCAAACAAGCATTTAGTTAGACTTGTATGTTTTGGTATGCCTGTATTATTATGCCCATATCTGTGGCGTTATAAAGCCCATAGGCATCGGTGCAGCTCAGGAGGTAGAGCAGGTCGTCCATTAATCAGAAGGTCAGTGGTTCGATCCCAGGCTCCTGTCCAGTCTGCGTGTCAAAGTGTCCTTGGGCAAGATACTGAAGCTCAAATCGCCCCTGATGGCCGTTCCATCAGTGTATGAGTGTGTGAATAAGCACTTTAAATGGTCTCTAAGACTAGAAAAGTGCTATATAAGTGCAGTCCAGCTCCATCACGGCTGCTGGAGACACTCCGCTGCTGGTTTAGTTGGTTTATTGATGTCCAGCGGTCCGTGACCGCAGCATCTCACTGTGGCTGTTTTTCCTCGCTGGGTTTTATTTTTACCAACAGCAGCTTGTGTCTCTGAAGCCTGACATTCACTGAATGTAGATACACACCTGTATTTGTTGGCAAATGACATCAAATTGATCTTGAATGGTTTGTGACAGATTTTGTCTTTAAAGTAGATGCTAATGCTAGCGTTACCTGCCTTGTGTTGACTGCTGCTCATGTCACCATGTGTTGCCGTGTAAACGGTTTGGATGTTGTGGTTGTGGTTGAAAGGATTTACATGGATCGATGTGAAACAACCGTCATACAAAGAGTGTTTCAATAGTGCCTACACTGAACATTTCATATTTCAGGTATTGATAATTCCTTTTATGACAGATATGGTTGAGTTGTGTTGAATTATCTTTGGCCACCTACGATGTGAAGACATTACCTACACTGCACACATGGTTTTGTCTTATTGTTTGTGCACGTGTTGGAGCAGGTTTACCCAAACTGATCAGAGGAGTCAACAAGGCCTGTGTTCATCAGACTCTGTGGTTTTACTGTGATTGTTGTTATTAAAATCCCTTTGGTACTTGAGTCTGAATTGTCTTATCCAGTGTAATGAGCAAGAATAATTTTCATTTTTCATTTTTGTTCAATATTTTATTCAAGAAAGAATGAAAATGAGTTGATACGTTTGTAGTTTAAAGACGACGAGAGGAAAAGTATCTGAAACAAAGACATGGTGAGAGGAGACGTCAGGACCGAGAGAGACGGTTTAAGAAAAAAAGTGGGAGATTGAAGTGTTGACTGGATGAAGTGATGCAGCGAGGGGGAGAGCGGGAAGAACGGTTGTGAAAACATATGAAGTGAACAGACGGGATGAAAAGTGCAGACGAGCAGGAAAAAGGCCGCGAGTGTGAAGAGCGGGTGCGATGGTGATGTTGACATCCTCGGCCGACGTGTTTCCCTCTGCACCTGAGGTGTTAACGCACATCTCCCATGATGCACTGGGGCTAAAGATGCTAGGAGGAAAGTCATTTGTGGTGTTACTCCAGGTTTATGTAGGGTGGAGATATTTATTTATTTATTAATGTGACTGACTGAGGTGGATCCTGAGATGGTTAAAGGGGCAGCTCAACATTTAGTGCCCTCCTCTTCTTCTCCCTCTGTCTGAGGGTCAGATGTTGATGACCGATGACCGATACCTCTCTGTATGAGTAGTAAATACTAGTGAGGTAGATGTTCAGTTTGTAGAAACGACGTGTATGTCAGCAGAACAGTGTCCACAGAGAAACCTCCAGTTATTGTTATTCCAGCCTGGAAGTGTCTTCTGCAGATGGTTCGCCTTGTGTCCGTCTGGTCACAGCATTTAAATCTGTTCCTTTTGTTGTGTTACATACTTGGAGTGGTTTGTTACTGGTTAAGCTTCATTATAATTCTGGTTTAAGTTCTAGTTCCTACTCTGAATTCACAGTGAGAATTACTTTTAAAACAGGAAACATTTTGACCATATACATTCAACACATTATCACCACGTAGATCTGACTGTAAACGGTGGCTGCGCTGTGTTTGATCGTGCGGTGTGTGTGTGTGTGTGTGTCAAAGCGGCGAGGCTGTGCAGGTGGTGTGTTAGGAATCGAGTATGATGCTGAATCTCTGTCAGCTTATATTCAAACAGCAGCAGGCGGTGGTGTTGCTGGGATAAACTTTAATTCATCTTTTCACAAGCACTAACAGACACTACACAACATTTTTTACTTGGATTCAGCCACAGCAAAGACGTGAAGTATGTGTTTATTAGTCTGAAATTTACCAGACGTGATGTTTTGTTCACATCAAGTCAACTCGCTGAAAGCTCTGCGGCTCATAACCGCCTTAAAACGTAGAATCGTCAGTTTTTCATTTTGTTTTTTAGGGGATGTTCAACAGTGATCTTTAGAGGTGAATTTAGTTTAAAATCACCTGTTATCTTTTCTGTCCCGCAGCCAACCAGTGAAGAAGACCTCTGCCCCATCTGCTACGCTCACTCCATCTCTGCCATCTTCAAGCCCTGCTCACACAAGTCCTGCAAGTGAGTCCACACACACACACACACACACACACACAGGAGCTTTCGTCTTTAACACCACACAGATTTCCTCCCCAGAAATCATGAAGAATATGAGGAAAAAGGTTGATGATGAATTCTGTCTCCAGCTCCTCGTTTCTGTTGCTGTGTCAAACCTTTCATCTGTTAGTAATTATCTTACTTCTCGGTAGGGCTCTGTAAATTCCAAGCAGCCGGCTTGATATAATTGGAGATGTCGCCATGATTTGCATTGAGGGAGCTGATAGAATTTTGGTCGCCAAGCAGAATTACTTCAGTTTTATCATTGTTGAGTTTGACAGCATTTTAGAACATCTGGGATTTAATGTCTGAAAAGCATATTTATGAAGGAATATTTATATAGGCCACCTCTCAGGGCCACATATCTCTGATTTACTCGTAGAAATCACACTGAGAGTGAATTTAGGACTAAATATACTCTATACTATTGACGAGTAATATTGACGAGTGTTAGTAAATAAGACAAGGTTGGATTTATTGGGAGACACATTAGAGTCATCCTCTAACCCTGCACCAAGCTAACACGATGGGGACCAGTCGCTCCATCAAACTCCTGATGAGAGCGAATAAGAGACGATGTGACAATATCTGAGCGTTACTGAAGATAATGTAATTAGTATTTTCCTAATTGTAATCCAATTACTGCACGAATGATGAAATGAATGAAGAAGAAGAACAGCAGGTTTACATGTGTAGGTTTTATGTGTCTAAGCGTAATAATAATGTAGATAATAACTAGTTACAAACTTCTATATTCAGAAATATGTCAAAATTAATTATATTTTTTCCTTTTATGCTCAGATACTTGAATAATTTAAAAGTTTTTACACATTTTGAATCAGCAACTGAATAATTCATCACATTATGAAATCTCTCTTATGCCTCAGCTCCTCCACAGCAGGTCAGAGGTCAGGGGCAGCTTCAGAAATGTCTGGTGGGGGGGGGGCAGTGCTTCTCTCAAGGACACTCCTACAGGGGGGCTTCCTGTCGTGGGGGGGGGTGCTGTTGAAGGTCGTCGTCCTTATTCATTAAGCCTCTCAGAAGTCAAACCGAGAGAGGAATGAAGTCGTCTGTGCTGCTGCTGAGTCAGCAGGAAGTAGCATCTACACGACTTCACACGAGTTTAGCTTTAAACGCTGAGCTACAGACGCAGATTTCACAGAACTTTCTTAATCCAATACATTAATAATTAATTAATAAAAGTCTTGTAACAAGAAGTGCATGCTTGTACATAATAATTTTTAAACGACTGGCCAGAGTCATAATCAAGTGCATGATGTATGTGGGCAACAAATAAAATGAACATAATTTGGATGATAATAACAGAATAATTTATTCACTTAAAACTTCAGCACAACTTCTCAACATTTCTATCAACAAACGACCTTGATATTAAAGGTGATTAACGGATAATTGACTAATTATTGATTTCCCCACACTGTAAACGTCTTTAGTTCTTCTGTTAAAACAAATGGTAAAAAAATTATTTTTAGAAAATAACATTTAGAAAAGTAGATTTATTCTACAGGAAAATTAAATGCGAGTCTGGTCTCTGCAGCATGCACACAGACACACGCACGCACACACACACACACACACCGACTGAGTGGCTCAGGCTGCCGTCTTCAGGCTTTGAGTTGACAACGTTTCATTCACGTGAAGGCCTCATCGATTCAAACAGCCGACACACAAGCACAAACTTGCATTACAAACATGCATATAACAGCGCAGAATATATGTGCACATCAACGTCACTGTATATTTGGAACATACATACATAGACATGCACACACACACACACATACAGGTGCGTGCGTGTGTGTGTGATGTGTGTTATGGTGTGAGTCAGCTGTTTGGTAACTGCTGATTGCAGCTCTGTGGGCAGCCGACCTTGGTCCAGATCATATCTCAATACATATTTCATGTTATCCTGGAGGTGCGCTTGATTTAGCTTAGCTGGCACGCCGGTTCAGCAGGTGTATGGATTATTGTGTTGCTGATTGAGAGTGCTGTCAAGAGGAGGAAACCATACAGACCTGAGCGGAGTCTAATCACCTCCGAGGCCAAACTCAAACTTTTTCCTGTACTGTTAATCCTCCTGTATTTACTTCTGACTTCCTTCTTCTCAGTAACTTCACCCTCCTGTGGAGCTCCGCCCACACAGAGGTTGCCTTGTAGCTCATACTTTAACCTGAAAATAGTGAAAGTGTGGCAGATGCTGTAACGCTGTAGGTGTTTAAACATGATTCCGGGGCGTCGCGTAGCGCAGTGGGTTACGCAGGCGCCCCATATATAGAGGCTACAGCCCTCGCTGCAGCTGGCCCCCGGTTCCCGCTTCGGACGGCCCTCTCCTGCGTGTCGTTCCCCCTCTCTCTGCCTCCCCATTTCCTGTCTCTCTACTGTCCTGTCCATTAAAGGCACAAAAAGCCCCCCAAAAAAAAACATGATTCCAGTGTGTAACAGCATGATTGTGTTTTGGTCGTCATGTGTAAATGTACTTCTTATAGCAAATACTAAATAAATAGATAAACGAATATTATTATTGGTCAGCCGCTGAGATCCCCTGGTGGATGGTCCCTTTTTAGGAGAATAAACCATAAATTATAACAGATATTCGCCAGAAAAATGTGCAGAGGAGTTTGAAGTTTTTATATCTCTTTTTTTAAAATCTGTACAAAAACAACGAATCGCAGTTTCACAGTTAAAACAAACAAGATGTAACGTGTTCATCGATGCTCTTTAGATCAGCTGGTCAGTGGATTTTGTTTCCCTTGGACAGAGGCAGGCTAGCTGTTTCCCCCGGTTTCCAGTCTTTATGCTAAGCTAAGCTAACCAGATGCTGGCTGTAGCTTTGCATTTACTGTACAGACATGGGAGTGGGATCAATCTAAACATAGAGAGAATAAAGATGATTTCACAGAATGTCAAACTATTGCTTTAAGGCGTGGAAGGTGTCAAGGTGCTGGGAATAATATTAAATATGATTATAGCATGTGTTAAATTTGAACTGCATTAATTCACAGATGTTTTTGTCTTCTCTTCAGAGCCTGTATCAACCAACATCTGATGAACAACAAGGACTGTTTCTTCTGCAAAGCCACCATCACCGGGGTCGAAGACTACAGCAAGCCCACCACCTCCTAACACACACACACGCACACACACACACACACACACACACACACACACACACACACACACGCACACATACACATACACACCTGACGCACACATAAGCTGTAAAGATCATAAGAGAAAACCTGTGTAAAAGACTGATCCTTCAAACACACGTGAAGCGCTTCATACTCAAACTTCAGACCACATATCAGTGAACCCAAAGATTCCTCACAGAGGTCTGTACTGTGTGTATGTACGAGAATGAACAGCAATGTTTGGAAATGTACAGATTCACCGTCAACAGCTCAATGTCATCGACGCAACTTCCTCTTTCTGACTTAAAGAAAAGATGAACTGAACGGAGACAGAGGTGGAGACTGAACTGAGTGGGAAGGATTGTTGATAAGAAGCTGATGGAGCTGCTCACATGCTGGTGTATGAACATGTATGTGTGGCTGCGAGTGTGTGCTGCACTATTTGTGTATACTGTGTAGTTAACGTCACAGGTGAAACATTACTGAGTTTTGAAAGTAAAAGCTAAAACAGAGAGTGAACAGACTAAAGCCCTTTTCAGACATGGAGTATTTCCTGTCACGTAAATGTGTAAAACTCTGTAGATTCACGACTAAAAGCCGCACGCGTGCATGATTCTGTTTCATATATCTGAGTCATCGTGGAACTGGACGCACGTGAACGAGCCTCACTTAACCTCCACGGTCCGACAGAAATGGAGGTAGCAACGTCCTTAAAACATCTGTTTGCAAGTCGATACTTGAGCTTCTCCACCGTCAATAAAAAAAAAAACAGCAAAGAAGAAGAAGTGCAGTTTTCTCTTTATAGCATCTTTTCCACCGATTCGTCACGTCTCAGTCGTGATTTCTAACCATCACAAAGATGATCAGTGATTCATTGACAGAGCTCAGGCTTCAAAGTTCAGGATCAAATGAAAACATCATTAACAGGGAATAATAAAAGGAAGGATTAAATCAGTCGTAAACAGTTCAAAAATAAAGTTTACTAATGCACTTCTGATTGAGAGTTTAGTCAAACATCTCTCGCCCTCGTCAGATCACAGCAGAGCGCTCCAGTGTGTACGCTGGTCTGAGGTCTGTGTGAGGTGTCTTTTACAAACACTAGTTTCTGAGGGAAATGGCATATGCATGGCTTTTGTGTGTACACGTCCTTTATATATGTGGCCCCTGGTGAGTGAGAGGAAGCTTCTAAAACTTATTTCACAGTTGAGGGTTCAATGAGCTCGAGGGACGCTCGTCTCTCCGTCAGCTGTTTGTTCAACATGTTTAATAATTATCTGAAATGGGCTTTAGTTAGAAGTAAAGTTACTGCTGGAAACATTTTCCCTTTATTTGTTTTTTTTTTTTTTATAAATATGTAGATACAGTATGTTATCCTGCATGTCTTTGCTGAGCAAACTCCACTCAGTTTGCCAGGTCGGGTTTAAATCCACGGCCTTTTTGCTGTGAGGTGTTGTTAACCAGGAAATGTACACTTTTTTTCCCCCAGTGAACTAAGTTTACTTTACAGTTTTAGATTCCAGTCTGAGTTTGCAGTGTGTGCTGTAGTGTTGATACAGTCCTGTCAGGGCCAGCGCGCACACACTTCTGTTATAAGTAAAGGTTATACTGCAGTGAAAATATAGCACACACACACACACACAGATATACTGGGGTGTAAAAAAATAACAAAAAAAAAGAAATATATCATGATATAGTTAGGTGACAGGACACTGGGAACTCTGTGTTCTATGTACAACACACACACACACACACACACACACACTAAACCGAGGCGGCCACGAAAGTCCCCAATAAAACACAGCACTCGATGGGAGGACAGCAGCGTCCTGTACAACGAGAACTAGCTGTCATATTAGCACAACAATTCACCTCTACCTGTCAGTGCAGGTACACCACACACACACACACACACACACGCACTTACACAAGTTCTTACAGAGGAACAGATGTGCACCATATATCACTTTTACCTCTGTGGAGAAACACTAACACAAAGACACACACGGGCAGGGAACAATGGAAAACTCATACCTCACCCTACCTGTGGATGGATGACTGAACGGCTTCACTGGGGACGGTTGTTTTCCATCTTTTTGTGGTTGTTCTTGCAGTGACAAAGAGTTGATAACAGCACGGGGTCCGAGGAGTCAGGGGGCTCCAGTCCGCAGCTTCTGTTGGAAGTGACTGTTAACAATGATTTGTGGACGCAAGATAACTACAAGAGACAAAGAATGGCATGAAGAGACGTACAATTACCATAAAAACACACACAACAACTCCAGACAGATGCCATGTCGTCTCCTTAAGTGGGTGGGGGGGGGCCTTTGTCTCATAATCCATCTATGACCCCCTACCTACAGGTATGCATATACTTTGGCACCAATGTACTGTAACCATGATCAAATACACACCATCTCTACCATGACCGGTGCAGGGAGTAGGTCTACAGCCATTGTAACTTAAAAAAAAAACAGACTTTAAATACTTTTAATACTCTGGTTTTCTTCTAAAGGTCTCGGACAAATTTAGTCTTAACGCACAGGTATTCACATTCATGCATTCACGCAGTGTACAGCCACACACCCCTACAATTACAGAAAAGTCACACGTGCAGTCTGTTGATAGATTTCTAGAAAACTAATGTGGTTTTAGGTGTGACGGACTTGGTTTGATTTTAAATGAAGAGTTTGATATTTTTGGAAAAAAGGGAAAGAAGAAGAAGGAGGATTTTCTCAAAATGCCAAACTATTCCTTTAAGTAAATGAATGTTGAACCTGCGAGTTACGAAGGACAAAAACTCTACTGTTCCTCTAACCATCGTGTCTAGATAAACCTCAATCCAACCACTGGTGCTGGAGTTTGTTACTATAAAATAACATGTACTGTTGTGTAAATGAGGCATAACTTCACTTATCCAAACCTCAAACTAAACCTGGGTAATTGAACAGATATAAACATGTGACAATGCTGATTTTCTTTTCTAGTTAACCTTCTTTTGTTCCTTGACATCGCCCTTATGATAGCACTGTTGTCATGAATTATTTTAGTCACATACTGTATTGATGTGGAAGTAGCTGATTATCTACTAACTAAAGGGATAATTCACTCTAAAAGAAATCATGTGGCTGTAATTGTTATAGGGTCTTGGTGAATTGATTGTGATCTCTGGGAATGTGTATCTTTATTTCAACCCAAAACCCAAGAATAATTTGACCTCCCCAAAGGGTCATTTTCTAATATGTATGTCAGACAACAAACAATATTTTCATACCATGACTTGGATTCATTTTTTTCCTGTAGGTGTCCATTTTATGATTGTTGTAATTATATTGGTTTGTCAATTGAAAAGCTGTTTGAGGGCCGATCAAATGTAGAAAATACAAAGGAAACTGAAAAAGTAAATCTGACTTTGAAATAATAAGTTGATATTGTGAATCAGCAGTTTCAAACCGAAACTCAAATTTTAAATTCCTTCAATGGAAAATAGAAAATCTTAAATGTAAAACTGAAAGAATCAATTTAAAAGAAAATAAAAAACATATGTCAAGTCAATTCAGTTTTATTTATATAGCGCAGAAGTTATCTCAGGACACTTTTCATATAGAGCAGGTGTAGACTGTTTCATCATTCACAGAGACCAAGCATTCCCCTATGAGCAGCACCTGGTGACTGTGGCAAATAATAAAACCTTTAACGGTTAGAAAAATCTACAAATAATATTTTAGCAAGAAAATATATTATTGAAATGAATTTTTTTTGCATTTCTCTCCCTTATCTTTGCACTTTTCACATTTTCCATGTAGCTTTTCAACCTAAATTTGTCAGTTCATAATCCAATTTATTTTTGCAGTTTCCTTTTTCTTTCTAACATTTATTTATGGTCTGATTATCTTGAGTACCACAATAAGATTTTATTCCTGGTTATAATTAGAGTGAATGTATATGAAATGTTGAATATCTCCAGTTGGAGCATAGCTATATGCACATTTGGACTATACAGTATATCTATTTCATTTTTTATGGAACATTTCACAGATTATCTTTCAATTATTATCTTTGGGAATAAACCGCAATTTCTTTCACGGTTCTGTACAAGTAGTTGTTGTCCAAAATAGGTAGTAATAATGATGAATTTGGCCTTCCGAAGCCCAGCAGAGTGGATTCTCAGTGAGATCATTCTGTTTATCTGACATTACACTGACAAATGAATGATAGCGAATATTCAAAACCTACAGAGAAGAGTTCATGATGTAAAACTCAGAGGTTTTGTTGGAAGGTCTGAACCTAAAGGGCTGTTTGAACCGAATGTTGACGGACATGTAATCAATAGTATGTCTTCAGTCTCTGGGTTTCACTGATGTTTGTGTGTTTGGTTTTCTCACTATGTGAACTGGTAGCGGTACTCATACAGTATTTAAAGCATGTATCTGAGTGAACAGAGTGTTTGTGATGCAGGTTTACAGAGAGCTGCTGCTGCTGAGGGGGTTTTACAGGCTGCACTGAGCAATATTACAGCCACTGTTCATTTGTTGTTTCTGTTTACACATTTACCTTGTTTAGGGGATGAGGGAGGGAGCAGATGATGCCGGGGGTGGACGAACTTATTGCTTTCCATTTCTCCTTTGTGAGTGAGAGTGCACATATATTGATAATGTAACTGCATTAAATTATTTATCCTAAACCAACAACTCTGCTTTGTGTGCTATTTTGTCTTGGAGGGGGATGAAATCAAATCAAAGACGGATGTTTATTCATCATTCTGTGCTAGTGTTTTTCTTTCAGATTTTGATATACTTTATTTAGTTCTCTTAATCAAAGTAAATATAGTATTCGGTAGAACATATTTGAAACTCATCGTTCATGCCAATAAAGACTATTTGATAGAGAGACATTGAAGGTTTTCTGAAAGTTGTGTAAGTTTTTACAGATTTAGTTTTTTCCTTGTTTGAGAAAATATTGTTGAAAAGGTGATCCTGTCGAATTGTAAAAACCATCAAAGTGTTGAAGAAAAA